TAAACTTGATGTTACCGAGCATCTTGCGCTTGGCCACCTGCCGGCGCTCTTCTTCCTCTGGACCAAGCTCATCCTGATTCTCGAACGCCTCGCTTGCTTTTGAACGATTTTCGAACTCGTCTTTGCACTTGTTAAGTAAAAGGACTCTGAATGTGCTCTGGCCTTTTTGACTTTCATCGATCGGTTTACGGGGTTCAAAGTTTGCGGCTTCGTCAGACAGCTGTTTGCACAGCCGTGCGTACATAGAACTGTACTTGGGTTCATCAAGCGCTTTTTCGAAGATCTAAAAAATTGTTATTGATATTTTTTTTAATGAACCAGCATCAAAGCGTCTTATACGATAAATATCATCATTTTACGACGCATCAATACGTACCAAGAAAATAACACCCTTGAGAATCACATGGGAATTAAGCTCAACGTTGAGCAGGTCGTTGCTCAGCTTTGCGAATTTTTCCGGTGTGAGCTTGTTAAGAATACCCCGTACCTTTCTAAAGATGAGATCATTTCGGCTTTCTGGGGTGAGTGCATCGCGTCTAACAGTTGAAGGAGGGATCCAGCGTAGCTCAGTGGATAGGGAGCGAATATCGTCCCTGGAAGGCATCGAATTTTTCTAATGTCAGTGTCAACGCAAGTAGCAACGTACAGGGACGATTTGCGCACTATTTTTTGTAATAAGTAACGCGTTCTCGCGTTTCTATTGTTTTTTTTTTTTTTTTTTTTTTTTTGTTATTTCCTGACAATGTTGAGCTGACATTTTACGCAGCATTCGCAGACCTCGCCTTTATTTCACGAAGGCGCTATTTTTAATCGAAATTTAAGATGCCATTGCACCGGACGGGACGCGTCAACGGACGTAGTCGACGGAATCAAAGTCGAGCGAGTGGGTGGCCGCCCTCGAACGAGCAGCCACCGAGAGAGCGCGACTCGACGTAAACACATACGCACGCACACACGTGCGTCCAAGTGCGTTGCTATGGCACCAGCCTGCAAGCACCGCCTAGGACAGGTCAGTGACAAAGCAAGGTCACGTCAAGTGCTTCGAGGGCTTTCAGCATGCGTCCGATTCCCGCTCTTGCGAGGAAGCGAGAGAGAAAGAGGGAGAGATCTCGTCTCTCTCTTTCCGTCATTTTTTCTATAATTCAATGTCACACGCAGTGCAACATGCACGGAAATGCGTGGATTAATCGCAAGTTACGTAGATAACACGCATCAATTTTTTTTTTTTACGCGCGGATGGAACAATTAAGATTTTTGTTTGTTACATCCAGATGCAGTTGTCTAGTGTTACGATATCCGAGTATCTCCTTTGTCTCGCGATTCGAATGGATTAAGTATTCGCGGACGAGAACCCGAGAATGAAAATTCGAAGAAAAAGATACAGTCATCTCCCGTGAAAGAGATTTGGCGGGCTGCAACGATCCAGCCTGTCCAAGGCGATCCGGCCGACGATGTATCGCGCGAAAAAAAAGTCTCACGCCACACGTTTTCGTTAAGAATAGACGTGGCAGGCGCACATGCGCGGATTGTCATGCGAAAAGATCGTAAATATTCTTCTTTGCGGCCTCTCCGCTAGATCCTTTCCATCATAAACGGATCCTTTCTTTTCCCACAATTTCTACGTGAAAATTTGATTCTATAAATTTTTCGGAGATTGATCAGGAAACTCTATCAAATTTACACAGAGTTTTTTTAATTTAGCATATCGTCATAAAATGCAGAGATTGCTTAATTGTATCTTTAGCACTTGAAAAAAAAATATAATTTACAGTGTCAACATCGTAAATTTCTCCGAGTAATTTTCGTCAGCGAGTGACAATTTACATAATTCATCGACGCTACCCGCGATCGCTTTCACATTTTTTCGAATGCGTTTTACGTAAAGAAACAATGCACCTCCGCGTGAAGGGGGAAAAATAAGAAAAACAACTGGCAATATGTTAGTTACAACGTGAAAGTGGCCGATAATAGAGACGACGCGTGTATGTGTGTGATCGCACGTTGTAATTAAATTAATGACTGAATGGTTAATTTCTCCTGCCAAGTCTTTGTTCTCGTTCGTGCCGTTTTTCCTTCTCCTTCTCCGACTCTGAAAAGTCGTCGTCAATTTTGAGATTGTTCGGCAATTTCCATCATCGATTAAATTATATCAAAGTTTTTCCGCGAACGAGAAAAGAATTTGCCAAAAACAAACAGAGATGGAAAGATCCAAGATCGCGAAAAATACTAAACATGTTTACACGTGTAACGAGATATTTTTTTAATAACGCCGATGGCAACCTCGTTTCATCTCATCGTGTTTCGCTTAGATTTTGTTGTATAAATCGCAAGAATATGGAAACACATCCACGCGAAAATGGACAAAAGGAAACGTCGCGTGAGACAAAACAGCGTGTCGTCGCAATTATTTTTCATCGGCGCGAAATTAAAGCAATAATATTATGCCGCGAAATGACGACGTCGCTGACTGTTTATCGAAGAAGGTAAAGACCAGCTCGTGTTCGCAGATATATGTATTTTCCGTTTCTCTTCGTCTAATTAAAACGCAGAATGACTCTGCGTTCTCGCGTCCGATAAATCACAACGAATTGATTACGCAAATCGAGCAAACAATTTCTTACCCGTCTCTTTGTTATCTTATAATAAAATTATCAAAAAAATGTCTACCATCTCTATTAACAGAGCCATTACGACATTGATAAGTTCACTCTTATCTCTTATCAATCTCCTGTTCTATTTCTTACTCATTTATTTACTAATACTAAGATTTTTCTTATACATTGTATTTTTCATAAAGTACGATAGTACTTAGTATATAATTGTTCGTATTAATCTTTGTGTGTTTTGTTCATCCTTGGAATCTCGCGTAAAACGTGAGTACTACTAATGTTTCGATTACGTAAATTTTATTTTCTAAATTTTGCACCTTAGATATTCATTTCTAATTCTTAGATATGCATTTCTCTTTATTCTCGTAGAGTTACCGTTAGAAAGGTAACGACGTGTGATATCGCTAATTTAATAAACAATTTATTATAATTTTCTCACCCTAAATATTTTTAAAACATATTACATAATGTTAAATTGTATTATTAAATTATTATTAATATTGAATAAATATATAAGAATATATATTCATTCTCTGCATTAATTTAAAGACTTTGATTTATTTATACATCATTTACGAATACTTTCTCATGACATTAAGTAAAATACGTCTATCACGTAAAAGCAAATATATATTACATCAAATTCATAAATTACATGATAGATTGCACTGTACCATAAATATGTATCGTAGATAAGTATTTCCTGACATAACGAATATCATTTAATCCTTGGATAATCCAGTCAGTATTTGAATCTTACAACAAGTCGTTGAAAATCAAACATATGATTTGCTGGATAATTTGATTCGTCACGATATCCGGATTGATAGTTTGAAATATAACTCAAATTATGAAAATATCGAATATTGAAATCTATTCAAACATATATAGACTTAAACTGGATGTGAAAAAAAATTGAAAAATTTAACAATTTATTATTGAAAGTTCGTCTTTGAGAATGGCGCGAAAGAATGAATGATCGTGTAACGAGATTCGTCAACGGACAAGTAAACTAAAAGGGGAAAGGCAGCGGGTAGACCAGAGTGAGAGTTTCTCCAGGGGTCATTGGCAAGATGGATTTACAACGACGTCAGTGCACGAATGAAACGAGCGGGCTTTCTTCGATGTTATTGAGCGAAATCCCATCGACAGGATTATATCGATTATCCATGCGAAAACTGTGCAATTATTTTGTAATGAGAAGCGATGCCTTGCGTCACACGATATTGGTATTGGTACGTATTAGAAAAATCTATCAAAATCTACTGCCGCTGATTTTTGAGAAAAAAAAAGAATAAAAGTTCCTCTCCTTGCGTGCAACAAATTTTTAATATTTTAAATCAGTTGATATTAAAATAGACAAAATGTCGAATATATCGAGAAAAAAGTAACTAAAGAATTTCGGTGATGTCAGAGTATTAACGTTAATTAATGAAAGATACAGAATGATTCATTTATTTATTATATCACCTAAAAAAAGTAATAACAAGACGCATCGTTGATTCACGAAATTCACAGAGTGAGAATCGTCGCCGATGATTATTACGTTGCAAATTGATCGAGTCTCATCCGCAAGCAGGTTTATTCTCGGAACAAGTATGCCGGAGAAAGTGAGCGCGCGAAATGAGGAAAATCGTTTTTCACCTTATGCGGGTTTTCGTTGCAAAAAAAAAAAAAAAAAAAAAAAAAAAAACGAAATCACGTTTGAGCGAAAAATTTATACGATAGCGCATCGAATCGCATAGAATAAACATAAAATGTAATAATTATTCAATTACTACGTAGTTTTTTTTTTAATAATTATATGTGTAAATGTATATTAATATAAAATCTCCCATATAATTAAATATATTTAATTAATATATTTAATTTATATATACAAAATATTTATTTAATAATTTTTAATATACTTTACATGAACATTCGAATTAAATAAGATTAATCACGGTTCGGCGCAACAAGATCCGGCCCAATTTCGATCGTTTGCGGCCTCAAACGCCATGATATTGATCATATTTTGATTGGAAAGAAAGGGCCCTTGGGCGCGAAATCGAGACGGCTGACCTGTTCGTGACATAACGAAGGAAGGAACATTCATCGTCGTCGTCATCTCGGTATTTTCACCGGCAAATATTACGACGCGGATTCGCCGGAGCCGCCGGGCGACCGAATGATGGCAATGACGACGACTCTCGCGAGACGCGAGCGTAACAAAGGGAGAAAGGAGACGCGACACATATTAAGGAACTAAGGAAGAAAGGAAGGAAGAAAGGGAAGGAGGGGAAGGAGGGAGGAATCACGCTACCGCCGCCGGAAGAAAGACGCAATGTGTTGCGGCCAGTGTCAGTGGCCTTGCTTTCTGCGACCCACTTTCTACGCCGGTACCACCGGCGAGAACACCCGCTCTCACACATACAAATGCGCGCGCGATCGCGAAAAGCGCCGACAATGTCACATTATCGTGAAAAAACAATGTCGTGAAAAAGAACTCGTTCGACGAATTTCCACTTGGATACTGAATATAAAGATAACGAGAGAGCAAGATGTCTGAGGAGGGATTACTAGATATATTAATTACTGTCTCTCTAATAATTGTGAGAAATATGTCTGAAGAAAGATTAAAAGATATAAGAATTCAATTCAGCAAATATTATAATTCGTTAATTTTTTACTTATAGGAGGATAATGCGATAACGTTTGGTGAATTCCATATGCCAAAGATTCAAACAAGTTTTTATAATCAAACAGCTTATCATTAATAAAAAGGAAATTACCTGGAAAAAAAAAATTCCAAACAACAATCAAATAATAAATTATTAAAAAAAAAAATAATCAAATTCTGTTGATGCAAAAAATCGACAATTATTGCAAGTCATTACAAATTAAATATATAAAAAAAATATATAAAAAAGCGAAAAAAGAAAGAATCTGTAATAAACGTGTCGGATATTTACACTTAACAGTGCTGTCTTCTTTTTTCCTGTTTTAATTATTTATTATATTATATCCACAAATCTCGTGTGATTTATATATATTTTATATCAAAAAATTAAATAAATAAATAAATAGATAGAGATCATACAAATATAAACTCACTTGAAATAACTCAAGTAAAAT